CCAATTTGAGGCCCAGAATCTGATTCATTCCCTAGGGATCCCTAGGCGATGAACCTTCAATGGCCTCAAAGGACCAAAAACGCACCAAAACGCCACATGCTTGTTCACAACGATTTTTATCCGCTGCGCCGAACAGCTGTGTTTTTTCCTGGTTCAGGAGTGGGCGAGAGAACAGAGGCGAGAGAGAATATTGCTTTCTGGAGGTGAGCACCTGTGCCTTGGGCCTTGGGGGCCTTGGGCGTCTCGGTCGGGCTCGCATGTCGGTCGGGGTCAGCGTCGGGTCGCACACGGAGCACGGTATTGAGATGTTGCGGCCTGGGTGGAACATGCGGCCTGAGGCTTAACCGGGTTTCTATGTTCAATACATGTTGCACAGGGTCTGGTGAAACATTCATATTGTATTTGGGTTATACGCATTGGTTTGCTGCCATCGTTTCGATTCTGTTTTTCCATGTCAGGTGAGGAGTGTTCTTAATTGTTCTTATGTCTTCGGTTCATGTTGCCTTCAACTCTTGAAAGGGGTGCATTTTTTGGACTCAAAACTCAGGTTTTGAGTGTTTCAACATCATAAATGAAGGAGGGCATGTAAAGATTACCATCTCACAAAACACTGGCCTGCGCATTGAATTGGAGGCCGGTTGGGGTGTTTATCCCTGCCTGTGGATATTAACACATAAACCTAGCCCCATTGCTCCGCCATGACTTCGCGACTTCGCCATGCGACTATAGCTGCATGAATGCTGGCTGGTTGGACGACAGGTTTGGAGGATTTCAGATGCTTCCAACAACCTTTCGGGTTTCCGCTGTTCCCATCCCAGTGTGTTGGCTGAACCATCCCAGTGTGTCCAAAGCTGTTACCATCCCTCCCAGTGCGAGGTGTCCATCCCAGTGTGTTGGCTTTATCTCCACCGAAGCTGGACTTCGGGGACATCACTGCGGGACAGCGCCATGTCTTGCCGCGGCCCCGGTGACCCAACAGAGGCGATATAGCTTCTTGCTCCGTTCGTAGCGATGCCAGGAGCCCCTAGCAGCTTCTTGCTCCTAGTAGTAACCTAGCAGCGTCCTGGCCCCTAGTAGCGATATTTGGGAGAATTCAATGTGGGAGCTGGAGTGAACTTGCCGGGCTTTAAAGTGGTCGACCATTTTCATGCTCCATGAGACATACGCTCAGGCCGCTGGTCATTACCAATCTCACGCAGGATCCACAGGAGACATGCATACTTGATTCCATTGGCTTGGGTCTGTCCTATTGCCTGTAACAGTCGGTAAACTATTTTAGACAAAAGTCTTTACTATAGGATCATCCTCCACTGTTACTGGCAATAGGATAGACCCAACACAGTATGGCATTTGTGTATCTACAGCCATCGGTCAATCACTGGCCATCAACAGAACAATGCTGTTACTGTTACGGACATTTTGGTTGAAGCCCCGCCTGCTTTGGTCCATCGTTGTTCAGGAGATCCGCCTGGAGGCGCTTCCAGAAAATCAATGCTTCAGCGTGCTCAACGCCCCTCGCACAGTCTCAGAACGGCCCTTCAAGTCGCGCACCTAGCTGAATGCAGTTGCACGTCGTGATGCGGTGAGCTGTGGAAGGGATGCCCATCTGGGCTGCGTATGTGTTGTTTGATGCGACCGTTTGATCGTTTTGTTTGATGTGTGCGCTGCGAGATTGTCTTCACATTGTTTTGAGAAGGTGCTTGGTTTGTCACATGTGACAATCACATGTGACAATCACTGCTTGGTTTTGTCACATTTTGCGCTGCGAGATTGTGTGCATTAAGTCCAAATGCATCCAATGTCGTTTTGCCAAGGTTCATGATTGAGTTTAAGCCCCAGATGGTGCAGATCTACCAATCCTCCCTGAACTTGCGAACGGACACGACACGTGTCCAGGCACCCGGGAGTTTCCACCTGTTTTCAGGTCATGTTTTTTTCACGTCATGTTTTTCGAGTGAATCTGTAGGTCAGGTCCTCGTATATGAATCATTGGTTGTAATCATGCTTCTTTTGTTCATGAACCTGGTCATGTCGAGTCATCAGTGATTCCCATGACATCCCGTGATTGTCACCGCTCTCCCTGTGGTCCGGTCTTTCACTCTCGCTGGTCCAGGTGCCTTTGAGAGGGAAAGGTGTGTGTCCGGTGCTGAAGATCGAGCCCGAGGCCGAGCCTCGCCGAGCTTCGCCCTCCACCGCCGGCGGCGGAACCGCCGCCGTCCGCGGCCGGGGCCCGGGTGGTTTGGGGTCCCGCCCCTCCGGTCGGTCGTAGACGCCGACAGCTCGCTCGCTCGCGCGAATCACGCCCATCACCGGTGGGTCCGACGGTTCGGGAGGTTCGGAGACGTTCGGAGCGGGTCCGAAGTCAGGGTGCCAGGCAAGAGAGGTGGATAGTGACCTGAACTAGGACCCTACGAGTAGGGTACCCAACTGGGATAGTCTAGTTCGGGTTCTGAATCACTGAAGAACCTTTGTTGGAGGAGTCGGAGTGGGGTTTGATTCGTCCCAGCCAGTGAATGTGACGACAGGGACCCCTCTATATATCCTCCTAGCTTCAAAAAGGCACCTCGAGCTCAGTGACTCCTGGTGTGTCGGGATTTGGAACCCCAAACGGAACTTCTGCATGGAAACTCCTTCGTGTGATCCACCTCGGTCCAAACAGCCCCCGTCTGTCGGAGGAAACAGCGAACAGCACTCAGTCGGTTCTCTGAGAACGACAGACACAGTCGGCCGCGCCCCATTGGGTTTTTTCCCTGCGGAGGGTCCGCGTCCTTGTCCTGCTAACCGCGTGGAGCGACGCGCAAGTCCTGTGTCCTGCTTGTCCGACGGTGTCCTCCGTCCTGTCTGATGTATCCTTCTCTAGTCTTCCTACTGTCCTCTGGCTGCGCGTGCAAGCCCTGTGTCCTCCTCTTATCCTCCTGGTCTCCTCCTGCCTCGCGTCCTCCTCTTGTCCTCCTTGTCCTGGCCACGTTGAAATGCATTGAAACCTGTGTCCTCCTCTTGCTCTCTTGGCTGTCCTCTGGCTATATTATGTGTCCTTGTTTGGTCCTCTTGGTGTCCTGTCCTCAGGCCGCGCTGTCCTGTTCCCCAAGCTGCGTCCGGTGGCCTTGTCCGGTCCTGGTCCCGCTTGTCCGTCTGGTCAGCCCAGGGTGCCCCTTGGCCAGGTAGACGTCGATGAGGTTGTGGATGGCGGGTGTAGCTGAATGTGGTGGGGATGTGTACTCTACCACCAGCGTTTCTCGGGCTCGAACTCTCCACCGCCTTGTCAGGGTTGATATTTTCATGCTATGAAAAGTGTTTGATATGTTCCTCGGACTTTGCCTTTGTGTCTTCACATATAGACCTCCGGAATCAGGAACTATTGTTTTCTAAAATTGGTCAAACAAGTTTTGGTTTACATGTCATTCCCAACATAGGCGTTATACATGCACTAACATTAATTCAAGGAGTTTACGCTAAACACTATTAACAAACTCATGCTGAAACTGTTTGGTGTCTATGTTGGTACAATTTAATAAGGAGACCCCCTGGCTCAATGGGTAGACTGGTAGACTGGTCAATTTCCCTTCTTTCAGGGGTCTTTGGGCACCCAAGTAAAAGAACATTATGGGTTGGTTTTCATGCTGTTTTGCGGAATGTAGACACACAGATGAAGAAGACGTGGCAATAGGTAGACTCCCAGGTAGACGATGGTAGAGGTGACATGGTTTTGAGAAGCTTGCGGGAAACAAGGCAATCTGCGTGTTTTTTTTTCATGGTCTACGTTATATAATCGAGGGGCGCAATGTGCAAGATGTTAAGAGGTGTGGATTGACGATGTCAATATCATGCTATATCCTTCCCTCCTCATACAACTTTGTAGTGAAATATGAGCCCATATTTCCATTGGATATGGTCAACTAGCCAAATATCCAAGTCTTTTTGCTGCTGGCTGGCTTGATCGATCTACAGCCAGGACATGCCAGGACACTGATATCGATTGATCGATCATCGATCCGGCTCGATGTGGATTCTTGATTTTTCCCCGGCAGGATGGCATCATTCACATGGGTTCGGTGATTTACACCAAAGACGCCAAGGCGGCGTACGCACCGCGTCGTGGGTCCGCACCGAGTGGGGACACCGGACCGGCGGTGGGGAACCCACGCTGGTTCTCTATGCTGGTGGTTTGGTATGTCGCGCCATGTCGCGCCATGTCGCGCCAGTGTGTGTGTGTGTCTTTATCATGATGTGTTTGTTTTAACAACCTTTCAATTATACTAATTGGTTGCTTGATTCAAAGAGGGGCCACCCCTAGGACCCCCCGTATTGTTTTGGAGAGGACATTATTGCTTTGGTTCCCAGCAAGTTTTTCAGTCGAAACCTGGGAAACCAACAAGAAACTGCAACACAGATGGCTGACAGACTCCAATGGCTGCCGCTAGCCGCTAGCCGCTAGCTACAGGTGGTCTCCGTGGCCTTTTTGGCAACAAGTACCTTGTGTATGTTTCCATGTTTTTTTCGGCTCACTCCCCAGCCAGTCCGCCGTCCGCCGTCCGCAGACGTCAAAGAGCTCGGTGTTTTCTTTGTTTTGACTGAAGGATTACACGACCAATCAACTGGTCATCAAGAATGAAAGCCCCTTCGAGCTGGTCTACAAATTGGAGTTCCTTCGCTTGAACACAGTACTTTGCGGCACGCGCGCTGCGTCGTTCAAGCTGCGAGTGAAAGCAGCTCGAGCCGCAGCTCGTGGCTCACGTGAACTGGGTGGAAGGAAAGAACGAAATCGTCACGGGGGACGTTGGTCTGCTCTGATGACTGTTTGATGAACACAGCAGGCTTCATTTGATCCGCCAAGAAATCTTTTATATGGGGAAAAGAGGGTTCCTTCCACAGGCAAATCCTGAAGACTATTCCCTGAAATTCAAAGACCATAAAGGAATTGTCTTTAGGTGACCCGAAATGGAACTTCCTTTACTTTGGATTTTCCCGGATTCTTCTTGTCCATCCGTGCAATCTGTTCCATGGAGCGATTCCTAAGGACTGTGATCCGCGGCGATCGCGGTGCGCCACCTTTCACCTTGAGCCCAGAGACTGCTACAGTAGCGGAGACTCGGACGAAGAACTTGGGAGTGACCCGGAGTGCCGAACGAACGGAAGGAGTGCAGGTGCCCCTGTCACATAGACTCACTGGATGGGAGGAAGAAAACCACCCCCTATTTGGCGTATATTTTTTTTGGTTAGGACATGGCCACAAACATGGCCTTGTGAATCGCCCCCCGGCGTGTCCAGAATGGTTTGGCATCTCATCTCCATGGGGGATTTCATTCATCAACAGTACACAGGTACATAGGTACTACGCAGTACTCCAGGGTGTTTGGTTCTCTTCCTCATGACCTGTTTTGTCTTTGTGTCTTTTCTGACGGCGCGGCGCCTGGTGTAGTCGAGACCGGTCATGCCACAGAAGTAGCGCCTGAAACAGTGCGTGCAAAATTTGGGAGATTTCTAAGCATCCGATGAAATCCAACAGCTGCCCTCAGCATATCCACGTCCTTTTGTAGAGTACTGCTAGACCTTTCTACACCTTTCTGCTGGAATTTTATGCAGACTGTGTGCTACTCAGTCTGCAGTTGCGTCATTCTGATTCATTCTCAACCACTGTTTCCTTTGTTCGACTTGGAAAACTATGAAGAATCCTTCCCCAAGATGTCCGAATGCTGAGGCGAATAGCTCTTTAAACGCTCCTTGGCCAAAGGAGTTGGGTGGCGAGACCGGTGGCACCACCGTCCCGTATGTCCCAAAACACCTAAGCAACGGGTGGCAAAAGATTAATCTTTTGGGGAAGGGTCTTTACAACAAACTATCATCATCCACTGGGCCCTATACTGGAATACGAGGATATAATGATATATTGGAATTCCCTGCTGTTGAACTAAACTTGCCCCACACGCGCCTCCCACCACGCCACGTCCGCACCCCTCCAGGGTCTCCAGGCTTGAGAGGGGTTTTGCTCCTCGTCCAAACCAGCTTTTCGCACCATTGGCGCCTCCGGGTCATCCGAAGCGCGACCATGTTCTGCATGGAAACGTGTGATCTTGGGGAAGGATGGCGAGGAATCACAGCGATCACCCCTAGACTTTCCAGGTGCCAGAGCGACGCAGATCGCTGACGCGGTGGTTTTTGGAGGCTGATTTGGAAGTCAAAGACCATCCATGTATGGCATATTTACATACATTGACCCGTTTCAACCACCCCAGTCCCATGGATGCTCTGGGATAAGAAGAATGGTTTGACTAGGTGATCACGAAAGGGACATTCCTTCACTTCAGTGGTGCGAAAAGAGGTGAACAGACACGACCTGTCTGGGACTGGAAGGATTCTGCCGCCCCGTTGAATTGACCCCTGAAATTAACATAAATTAACCATCCCAACTGACCGGCAACTATGCCACACATGGATACGACATGGAGTGTTTGGGTTTTGGTGTTTGTTGTGTTTGTTGGCGTGGTCGAAGTGTCCTTGCCTTGTTACCGTCTTTCTGGCTGCTTGGGCCGAACACCAGAAGAAGGATGTTCAGTTGCTTCCGCCGAACACCGCCCTGTCTTGTATCTGGTTGCCGCCGGGTGCCCTGTAGTAGTGGTCTTTTTGTGTTTTTGTAGGCAGAATCTGGAAGCTCATTCTGCAGCGACAGTGAGCAGGCCGAACTAAAAGCTCGGCAGCCATCAAGAGTCGCAGGGTTTGTCGAAAGAAAGATCTCAAGAATGACCCGGCGCTTTTGACACACTAAGTGAAATGCATGCAAAGCAGAATATGTTGTGTATAGTCTAGTTGTGATACCTGTTGCTGGTATTGTGATGCTACTGCTTGCGTTGGGTGTTGTGGCTTTAAGCTGTCTTTGTGTTCACTGCTGGAGCAGAAGAAGCGGAGGAGATTGCCTACAAACTTCGATTTCGTGGTAGGCAGCATGCTCGAATACCAAGTGCAGATCTCATATTTTGGGAGGGAGGATGTGCCAGGGAAGAAGGACGCCACAAGAAGAACGTGTCAGTTGCCTGTGACTTCTGCAGCAGGAAGGCCACCATGTTCTTCTCGGACCAAGGGCGACCTGGACCGTTGCCTCGGTTCGGCTTCGCCTCCTTCGGGCCGACGGCTCAGGTCACGGTGACGTTCCGCCCTCGTCGGCCCAACAGCCTCTTCCGAGAGAAGGTGCTGGTCCCGCCTCCCGAGGGATTCGGCCGTTGGAGCGCGGTTCATGTGGAGCGCGGGTGGAGCGCGGGTGGAGCGCGGGTGGAGCGAGGTCCGGTTTGGGAGGACACCCGGAACCCGGGCGATGGAAGGGTGAAGCTGGGACTGTCAATCGGCAGTCCAGGTTCAGGAAGGTGGAGTGAAGAGAATTTTAGAGAGGATGCAAAGGAGTTGTTCTTTTTTTATATAGGATCTTGTCATTGGTACTGTCTTTGTACCATAATTATGAGCAACCACTTTAATAATTCATTGCAGTTGTTTTGTATTTTTTTAAAAGATAGTCTACGGCATGCTCTATTTGCTTGTCTATCATCAGTATTCGCTTGTGAATGAGTTAGGGCCCCCACATAAACGAGATACTTTTGCTTGACGACACTAAAGTAGTCTGAACGAGATAGTGTGATCTGCTACTAAAGTATACTAAAGTAGTCTGAACGAGATACTGTGACATGACTTCCTACTCAAGTAGTCTAAACGAGATAGGGCCCCCACACAATAAATATCGATAGTCTGTATTTGAGTTTATAGTACAAAATAAATGCCGCCGCACATATGGTACTGTACCATGTTCCTTTGGCATGCAAGGGGGTGCGCTCAAGCTGACTGTATCTTTTTTATCGGTGTTCCCAAGCAATCAATCGATGGGTGTCGGCTGATCGTTTTGGAGGAGGATGGAGGAGGATGGCTGACCTGGGGTTTGGAGATGGAAAGATGACAGCGCGCTACAAACCAATGCCAGGTAGTTGCAAGGTCTTGCTTGCTTGTTGAAACGCGCTTCACACGAACCAAATAGGTCACTTGAAACGACTCTTTAGTTCAGGGGTGTTGCAGCATATCTTGCATGTTCTGAATTTGTAAGCAAACCTAGTCCATTGCATCGAAGACGGTGGGCTCAGCTTATGGCACATGGACTCCCCGTCTGAGGTCAATGTGCCAAACCAGCGGGAGCCGACTTATGTGGCGAGCCTGCACCGGTGTATGCGGTCGTGAACTGTGAAATGTTGTAAAGCGGTCGTGAACTGTGAAATGTTGTAAAGCGGATACAAAAGGCGAACATGTTGTTATGTAATATTGACTCAGCAGTTGAAACGCAAAGAGCAACAGATGTTGTTTTATTCCCCACAGCACGGCAAGCATGACAAAGGTGCCTTTGACATACTCTGGGGGTGTACATGCGTATATTGGATTCATTGGCCACACCCTCGTGTGCGGGTCGACTGGACTTCGGCAGAGTGAAAAACATTCACTTCTCCCCCAAGAATCCTTGCCACCGAAACGCAGGGGTCTGGACCCTCGGGCCCTCGGGCCTCCCTTCCCTTTGCTTCGGGCCCGGATTCGGATTGGGTCCTACCAGCAGAGGTTGAAGAACCCGAACTAGACTATCCTAGGTAATTGTGGTGATGGGTCCTAGTTCAGGTCACTGGCTACCTTTGTAGGTACTTTGGGACGTCGACGTCGGGCCTCAGTAGAGGAGCATCAACGACTGGATCACCGAGAGTCACTTCAATGGTGTCGCCATCGCTTCACAAGCACCACACGTGCATTTGACATGCACTGGGACACAGCTCTTTGCGCACTGCTCATCGAGGGGTTTTTGGATCGCGATCCGACTCCCAACGACCTTTCCACCCGGCGGAGGAGAGAAACGATCTGGACTCCTACCGGGCTCGTTTCGGGGTCCCACCGGATTGAGGATCGGTTTCAAGTGTCAGTCCCAGAATGTTTAAGGGAACATCCACAGAAAACGTCAGTCAACTCTATCCCCAAAAATCCAAGTACCTTCTCAGAAGCTGATTGGAGACACTTTTGTGTAAGTTTGGAGGGCCCAAATCCCAAATACCTTCTGAGAAGGTACTTGGATCGCATGGGTATCCTGTTGATTTTCCCTCAAACTGTTTTGTGGACTTCAGAAACAGAACCGCCCTGTCCCATCACTCCGCACATGAACTCAACCAATGATGCGGACGCACATTCTGCCCACCAATTCGATGTGGGTACATTTGGAGACAGGAACACCAAACCCTAGCCTCCCAAGACCCTTGGACTATAATGGTTGGCCTGGTTTTGTAGTTATATAGATAGTAAAACAATGGTTGTCCGGGAAGTTCCCAGCCTATATAGATCTAGGAAGCCGGCTTTGGGCGGGCTGTTTCCCTCCGACCCCATGGACACGATGCGGGCACGATGCGACGTCTGAGGTCTACCTTTACGGTCATTGCTTTAAGTATCAGGCCGACGGCACGACCTGGCACGTTCGGTGTCACGTGCGGACCTTCGAAGAAGATGTGTGGACAGGACCCGAACAAAAGACAGAGAGGTACTTACAGACAGAAGGGACCTCATAGACTCGGAGGTATGTACAGGTCGACTCCTATAGGTAATTATATAGTTTTCAAGTTCTGTGGAATGAAGGGCCAAGTCCTTCGGAGAACCCACCAGTCTCTCTTTCCTCGGGGCGAGGAGAGTTTGTACCATTTTGGACACATACGTAGTGACACCCTCACACATGAAGTTCTGCATATATATATATATACACGTATTAGGGAATGAAGGGCCTCACGTCTCTACATTCTCAGTGAGCCTGGCTCAGCCAGCTCTTTGGCAAAAATAGGAGACGTGTTCCCCAGAGCCTGGGACTGCCTTACACCGCTCGTGTGATCAGATCCTGCTCATATATGGCTGTGAGTCATGGCACGTTGTCGTCCACCAAACCATCCGAATTGCTTGACTTTCCGTACTTGGAGGAATCGGTGCATTCCATACTTCGGTGGTCTGGCCCACATGGTGCCGTGCTGGTGTCATGGTGCCATGATCCACAGCCAGTTGTAAATGACTTTCCCATGCTAAACGCTTTGCCGTTTGATTAGAAACTATTCTCTGCAGATTCTGTTGTTGACAGGCTCGGACACCACTGGTGGTCGCTCAGATTTTGAAGCCGACCGAAGAATAAAAGGAGAAGAGGTGAAACGTCATGTTCAATTTGTTTGCACTACAAACCGCTTTTTGAGACGCTTGATGTGGCATCCTTCAGCCATCCTTCAGCCATCATGGGGCGAGGTGGGAGGATCTTCATTTAATCCGAACTGTCGATCTCCGTGCAGCTGAGAGGCCCGACAAAGGCGGCCCCAGAATACCCAGGGCACGGACTGTGTTGCAGTGCTACGCCGTGCTACGCTACGCCTGGTAGGCCTATTGCCTTCATAGCATGGACTTCACCTCCTTCGGGCGGCAGGAGGCACAGGCTGAGGCAGGATGGCGGGTTTTGGCGATCTGCACCTTGTTGATGTACAAAAAGAACACACAGCAAGAGGTGGGAGATCAATAGATCTTATAGGTCATATATTTCATTTGTCATTGGGTGGTCTTCCAAGTTTCTTCCTGATCAATGAGCGGAGAAGCCGGATACCGCTTGTGAGTTCCTTGTGGACAGATCGAAGTGCGTGTAGTTTGAGGAATTGTCCTCCCTTGGCCACCGCAGTCCCATGCACAAGGAACCCAAAAGCACTTTTTGTTGTTCCCGTGGAAGGTGTATTGTTCGGTGCCTACTGCCAAGTTGTGGACTCTGACATGGGTGCATTTGTTAGTAGGAAGACCCCCCTGGCCCTGGCTGGGTAGACTCTTAGACTGGTCTATTGTCAGAACCTTCCAGGGGGTTGGAACGCCTGGGAGGTCCCCCCATTTGAACTACACGCCCAAATCCATTCACACGATCCCCTGGAAAAGGGAAAATATACCACAACCCATTGGGCCAGGGTGTCTCTCTATTCAAATACACACCCACGATATTTTGGACATATCCCATTCCCTGTAAGAGTGGATGATGATTAGAGGCCAATTTTAGTATATATAAATGTTGCATAATTTCGCTATTAGGTTGGAGGCCATCGCTAGTAGGTTAAAGATATATTTTTAATGAGCACACACATTTACCCAGATTTTGAGTCAATGCTCCTTTGCGAGGCTGCCTTCCTGGACTCCCTGGCTGTAGGCGCGGGCACGAAGCGTGGCGCGATCTCCAACACAGAGAAGACAAATGCAGAATATGACCCATGGGAGGACTAGATGTGATCTTTTGATATGTAACACGCGGAAATCACACGCTTGGTCATTCAAAGTGTGAACATGAATTGAAGTATTCTACAACTGCTTCAAACAGCCAGTGTTTTACTTCACTCCTTGTGTCCTGGCCCTTCCATCCGTCCACCGGAGCCACCTTCAGGCACCGGCGCGACGGTGACGGCCTCGGGCGGCTTCGAGTACCCCTCCGCACAGCCGAAGGACGGGATCAAACGGAAGTTCACGTCCCGTTCGGGACCGGAGCAGAAGTCAGCAACCAACGGACAGACCATGAGGATGTTTTTTCTGTCGCCGGTTCGAAATGGATCTTCAACATGCTCAAAATACACACACATGCCAAAGCCTCTTCGTGAAGTGACTTCTGCAGGAGTTTTCATTAGTCTTCGAGCGTGGAGAGAAGCTGAAGGTCTTGATGGCAGGTGCGGTGGTCCAAAGCCAATCGCAGTGGCCAATCAGTGACCCGTGGTTTTTGTCGTGACGAAAGCAGAGACTTCTAGGCTGCTAGGTGACTTCTAGGCATCCTGCAAGCTAGTCCCTCAGGGGGAGCTGAAGTCTGAAAGGCTGTCGAATTTCGATTGGACGTTTGATTAGGTCGACCCTCTTGTGGCCGTTTTTGTTCTAGTATTTTCCGATGGTGAAGCAAGACGATTGGCATCACATTGAAGTCTGACTTAGACCGCTTGGATGAATGCCATAGCTACAGCTACAGAAAATTTCACTGCATTTCTGCACTTCTGTCCGACCAAACTCAAACTGACCTGGTCAAGCAGCGAGCCCCTGTCTGGGCCCAGTTTTTCAGATTTGGGTCGCACTTTCTTTCTCAGCTACCTTTGCTCTTCCTCAATATTGCTAACACATCAACGTTCCAGCATCGCCCAATCCATCGCCTGGCCCCCGACCCTGCGTTCGCTCCTCCGCCAACCCTTCCCACATCGCCACGGGTGTTCACACCGTCCCCAACTCCGTCCGCGGGGTTTCACGCGGTGAAACGCGGTCCGGGCGCCATGGGGATCCTCAAGAGCTGTTCTGAGCGTTGCTGTGGAAGCTGCGCGCAGATCTGTGGCCCACCCGTCGCCCGGTGGGGCATGGAGACCCGACGAGACCGGGCGGAGACGGGCAGAGGAAAGAAAGCACCTAAAGG